GGAATGCCTTCCCGCTCTCTGACCTCGCTTGAATTCGAGCTGCTTCCGAACGACGCCGTTCTATACTGGCCGGAAAAATAACCGGGTAGAAACTGCTCATACGAAGAAAAGGGATCTAAAAAATCCCAGGCCGATGAACCCTGAGGCGGTGGAGGCGGAGGGGTGGCAACCCTAGTTGGCGGAGGAGGGCTCGCCGACCAGCCATAGTAGTAATTTGGATCATTGACAAAACCCTCATATAAGCCACCATACGAATCCCCGTAAACCACGTTGGGAGTCGCCGAAGAGGATCTCATATAGGAGTGATCAGGGTTAGGCCCAGCCGACTGGTTCCCTCCTTTTCCTTGGTCCGCTTCCCCTTCCGTCTCGGAGTCGGAAGAAATCTGCAGATGCGAGCCCTCATCCGACAGCGAATGGGACAACGGCGTCGCCGATGACCCTCCGCTTCCGTCGCCGTCGTTGCTCTTTCTCGAATCAGGTAACGTGACGACCTGAGCTGCAGGCTCCGTCGCCACCGGGATCCCCTCTCTTGCGTAGCGCAAGAGCGCATCGCCGACGGCGGAGAGGGACCGGAAGTAAGAGTCGTGAGCGGCAGCAAGCGCATAACGATGGCCAATCGCTTCGCGAATCAACACTCTCCTGCTGCGGCACAGCGCCATAAGCGCCGTCTCTGCGGGCCTCGAAGCCCAGCATCCCATATCTCTCTCTCGATCCTCTCATTCATCAATCGCCCCACTCATATCGATCCCCAACCCCATCATCGCTCGCGTTCCTGAGATCCTTATAACGCAGAATCACGGCCGCGAAACGGAAGCGACGAAAAAAAGGCAAGAAGCTGCGGGGCGGACGAACTTCTCTCACCAACCGGCGCCGGTCCCACTTATGAGCACGCGTGTGAAGGCGCGGGAAGACCGAAGAAGGTAAAAAAAGTTGTTTTAGGGTTCAACTGCCAGGAAAGGAAAGTTCAAAGGATCTGTTTTGAAGAGAGAGGCGGTGAATTCGTTCGACGCGCGCAATCCCCGCGCCGTGATGACGGTTATAGGCCGGAGATGGCAGGAAAGTGGGAAGGAGGGAAGGAATTGTATGAACAGAGAGAGAGAGGACGTGGGGGACTTCAGAACGCGCCATTATCGCGTCATTCCCGCGCCATTACCGCCGTGAAGAGAGCTACGCCGAGGCGGTTATGGGGTCTTGAGAGATGGGGAAGCGTGCGTGGAGTCAACGGAAGATGACGTAACTTAAAATAATCGGATACCATTTTATTTAGGCCTCCAGCATTATTATGCATGCCAATCTGCACTGAAAAACTTATGGCAGAAATAAATACTCCTATTATGCATTGCCAATCACTCAAATTAAGACTAAAACTTCATTCATCATCAAGCAGAAAGAATCAGTGTGAAGAAGTCAAACTTGCAGTTTGTTCTACAGAATGCAGTTCATAGATGTTAAAAGCTCTTATTCATCTCCAAGTACAAGAATATCCAGAGAGACCTCAGCGCTCGATTCGACAGCAAGTCTCTCCATTTGTATCTTTAGAACTCTCAGGATTCTATGGATCTCTTTTCTCTTGGAGTGGGTTTTATCTTTTACCGTGAAGACATGGATCTTCCTTCCAATTTCAACCCAGCTACACCCAGGCTGCTTAATAACTCCTCTATCCTTCATCAACCTTCTAATTCTCACAACATCAGCCCATCTCCCTATCTCAGCATACATATTTGACAGAAGAATATAAGGTCCTGAATTTTCAGAATCAAGCTCAAAGAGCTTCCCAGCAACCCATTCTCCCATTTCGACATTACGGTGAACTCTACATGCTGACAGCAAAGAACTCCAAAGAACAGAATCAGGTACAATAGGCATCTCTCTCATGAATTTCTCAACTTCACTGAATCTCCCGGCTCTGCCAAGCAAGTCAATCATGCATGTGTAGTGATCTCTAGATGGAATCAAACCATGCTCCTTAACCATAGAGTCGAAATATTTACGCCCCTCTTCCAACAACCCCGCGTGGCTGCATCCTGACAAAACCCCAATCATCGTCACATGATCGGGTGCTTCGTCGGCCATTAGCATCCTCGCATAGAGATTTATGGCCTCCTCTCCGCTCCCATTTTGTGCGTACCCCACAATCATGGCATTCCATGAAACTTTGTCTCTTTTGAGCATTCGTTCAAAAACTGTCCTTGCCTCATCCATGGATCCACATTTATGGTACATGTCCAATAGCGAGTTCCCAATGAAGATATCAGGTTCTGGACCATTTTCAAATCTGAAACCATGCTTCAACACATGAGCATGTGCCTGCTGGCCAATCTGGAGGACAGCAAGGTTAGCACAGGCATTAAGGACATTGCCAAAGGTGTAATGAGATGGCCAAACAGATTCCCTCTTCAACATAAGAAATAGTCTAAAGGCCTCCTCATTCTCCCCATTTTGTGTATAACCTGCAATTAGAGCATTCCAAGCAACAATATTCTTCTCTGGCATCTTCACAAACATCAACCTCGCATCGTCGACCATTGATGATTTCACATATCCAGCAAGCATTGTTGTTTCCGATACCATGCTCTTAACAATCATGCGATCAAAAATCTTCCTCGCCGCACCGACTTTACCGCATTTCGCATACATGTCAACCAAAGCATTGCTGAGTATCAAGTCGTTCCTCAATTTTTCAAACTTAATAACGCGGGTGTGTATCTGCTTTCCTTCTCTGATATAAAAAAGGCTAGCACAAGCACTGACTACGCTTGCAAGGGTAACCTCGTCATACTCAACATCACACTCCATCATCCTCACAAACATATCCATGGCTTCACTCACAGGACCATTCTGCTCGTAGCAAGTGATTAGGCTGTTCCAGGACACAATATTTTTCTCTGGCATATAGTCAAACACTCTGTGAGCATCTGACGATTGCCGGCACTTGGAGTACATGTCAACCAACGCACTGCCCATGTAGACATCGAAAGCAAAAGGAGATTTTGAAATCATTGCGTGGATCTGGAGACCAAATTCAGATTCAAACAAACCAGCACAGGCACTGAGAGCACTGGAAAAAGAATACCCATTGAGCACAAAGTTCTCACTATGCATACCGTTGAAGTATTGAAGAGCTTTTCTCAAGCAACCATGCTGAGCTGCACCTGAGACCATCAAGTTCCAAGAGCATTGGTCGGGTGCAGGCATGGAGTGGAAGAGCAATTCCGCCTCGTTGACCATTTGGAAACTCAGAAGAGCTCCTATTATGTTATTCCAAGTGAAGGTATTTCGGTCGGGCATTTTCTCAAACACCTGTTGGGCATCATGAAGAAGCCCACACTTGGAATAGGCATCGATAAGCCGGTTCTGGATGAAGACCTCGGAAGCGAAGCGAGTTTTTAGGAGGCGAGCATGGACACGCTGAACCTCAAGCAGAGACTTTGCTTTAATGGAGGATTGAAGGAGATTGGAGAAGAAGGTAGAGTTTGAGAGGGAGAGGTCAAAAGGGAGGTGCCTGAAGGCTGATGCGGATTTTGCCATTCCATCGTCAAGGCGGAGGAGAGGAGACGTCAAGCTCTGATTTTGGGAAGAGTCTAAAAGACGATAAGTGGCAGGCACTTCCTTCTCAGTTTAATTTTAAATTATTTTGGGTTATATAATTATAAATATGTGTGCGTAATATCTACATGAGAGATGTGTCAGCATAAGAGAAATTCAACACGAAGACACATGAAAGTACAATTAGGGATGACCCTCGGAAGAAAAATCAAAAGCCCTATTATCAAGTTCAAAATACTTGATTGAAGTGTGGATCCCTTCGATTGGGATTCTGGGATTCAAAGCAAACAAATGCGTTCCATCTGAGTTAAAAAAACAAGCTCCAACAAGCTGAAGGAAGGCATTAGCCAAACTCTCTACCCGATATTATCAGCTGCCACATAAAAATTCTCTGAGTCTTCATCAGTAGGGCAAGGGTTTTACTATGATATACTCCTTGAACACCTTGAAGAACAATTTGTCAAGAAGTGAGATACCCATCGAAATATGATTCACCCTCTGACCAACAGCCTAGCCTCATTCTGGCGACAGAAACTCCTTATCTTTAGGTCGATAGTTGATATTTGCACCAAAGCAATTGATCGATTAAGTCAACGAGCTAAGCCCAGATGACTCGAAGATTAATAGGATTTAATTGGCAACCCCTACCTCAACGTAGTCGGACGAACAAGCCTTATCAAGCCAATGCTCTCTAATCTTAGCTGACCGAGTGATAAGGTAACCAAGACATAGACTCATATGTAAATACTCGAAATACCCTATAATACTCCCATTAAAGCAGTGGTAAGCATATAATTATACGTAATGTACCTCTTTATTTATAAATATGAGACCATTCCACAAATAAAAAGTAACACAATCTCTCATTCTACTGTTCATTATTGTACACACGCACACACACACACTCTCTCTCTCTCGTGTTTTTAGTTGTATTTCTTAAAAGTGACTCTTATACAAATTCAGATTCAACATCTTGAAATGTGTGGTGAGCGTGAAACATGCCTACAACAAGAAGAGGAGTACAACAATTAGAAGAAACCCTCCACAGAGGCACCACAGACATGGAGTGCACAAGAGAGCTTTTGCGGCAACAAATACAAGAATTGAAGGTTCAAATGATGGGTCAGATGATAGAAGCCATTTGAGAAGCAGTAGCTTGAGGCAAGAAGAAGAATCCTGGAGAGGAAGTGTAAGTGCACAACATTCGAAGGGTAACTCAAGCCCCATAAATAACAAAATATTCTAGTATCAAGACAACTTTAGATCTGCTCCGATTAATAGCCAGCGATTCTAGCGTCTTGAGGTGCCCCGTCAGCCAAAGAATGCATGCTCTCGATAAATTTCATATGATGAGCTCTCAGAGAAGCTCAAAATCCTCTCGTTGGAGTCCTGCAAGGGTCAAACTGATCTAATCCACAATTTGACATCCGTCAAATCAACCATCTTTATGTTGAGGATTACCGAAATGTTGAAGTGCCGACAGTTCTTCACCACATTTAGGGAGTCGGCCCTTAGGTGCTTCAAAGGGCTATCAACACAAGTGATCACCTCTTTCACTGACTTTCAGAGAATATTCATGGTGCGGTTCATCAGTGCCAAAAGACTCAAAAAAATTTGCAAGCCCTGTTGCAAATTAAGCAAAGGCAAAATAAGAGCCTCCACTAGTTTATCACTTGTTTCCTAATGAAGAAGCCAAAATTGCAGAATCAGGAATCCACAGTAGCACATGCTACTCGAGCTAAGAGGCTGAATGAGGGAGCCTTAAGCTATGTTTTGGGTCTCCAGCTACTGAAAGCCTTAGTTGAATTGTTGGAGTTGTCCAACAAAACATATTTCGGCTAAAGAGTACAACTCCAGCTTTGCTTCCACCAGAGTAGAGTCAATTGCACGCCGTCTACAAAAGAGGGCCCAAAGAGACAACAAATGGATATTGAGAGAAAACCCACGTCCTTTCGCTCGGTCACAATATGAAGACAAATGAACATCCTTAGACTACAAGGGGGTCGAGTTGAACCACAATCTAGAAGGTCAGTCTCGATACTCTGACCAATGGCTTGCTCGCTATCATGAGCGACTTTTGAATGATCATGAGATCTCGAACGCTACTCGCTAACGGTCTTGATGGCGCAGCTAGTGAAGGTCATTCAAAACAATGAGTACTTCTAGAATGCACCATCGATGAGAGCCAGAGTTTTTCTCTGATACACCGTGAAGGGGCCATGACCATGACATAGAGGAATGCAAACACTTTCGGAGTCTGGTCGAGGAGTTGATAAGAGTTGGAAAGCTCAAGAAATTTGTGGCACAGGAGCAGTGACCCAGAGATAAGTGAAGACTTCTGTAGAAGAAATCTCGGATGACCTGGTTCGAGACAGTACCAGCTATCTTCAGAGAATGTGAAGAGTCGTCCAGGCCAACCAAACATAAGAGGCTACGGTTGGCAGAAATGTGAGCAACCACTTTCACTCTAAATCGGAGCACTGATCCACTGATCACTTTCAACAGCTTTGATTCGAACAAAAAATTTAACTTATGAAAATAACTTTATTGTATTAAAAAACCTCATCTATTTTTATTTTATGTCTAATTCATAATTCATTTTCATTAGATTGTCGTGCACTTTCAATTTTTTTTGGGCATATTTTCATCCATTTTTATGAGCATAACTAACAAAAAAATAGAAAGTTTATCGTTTGATTTGTCCATGTCGCGAACTATTTTCATCAATATGTTCTACATAAAATTTGCTATGAATAAGTTTTTCATAATATTTGGAATTCATTATTTGAAGATATAAAAGTTTTTTATAAATATTTTAATTAACCATAGTTAAATAACTATATTTGTGTCCTCCAATAACGTTTATTAGATATGTTTTTAATAGAGTGAATTTCCATGCATTCATTTCATTTGATAAACGACGTGTAGCCAGAGAAAGAGAGAGATAGAGAGAGAAAGAAAGGATTTTTTAGAGAGAGAAAGAAAGGATTTTTAGAGAGAGAAATTCAATTTTGAAGGCTACTGAGTTGATTTTGTAAAATCTAAATTATTTTACAATCTATGTGGAAAAAACAAAGGAAGTTTAGGTGATGGTGTGGCTGGGTTTTTGTATGTTATGTGCAGACAAGTTGAGTTATAAAGACCGGTGTATCCATAATTCTTCATTTATGTATTTGATATGCTTAAATAAATATGAACAAATGGATGAAGGAGTGAAAATGGAGGATACAATGAGCAAATGGAAAATATAAAAAGTGAAGGTATAAGGGATAAAAAGAAAATTATAAAACATTTCAAATTAAATAATAAATTATTATTTTATATTATTTTGCTTTATTTTTTATGTTAAGTTGCTTGCATTATTGCTCAACATATGTTTGTGATTATTAGTTCTTGTACTAGGATCATACTTGATAGGTACAACACAAGATATGTTGTCATATTCTTTTAGTTTATATAATATAAATATATTTTCATCTCTTTTTTATTATTGAAATTTATAATAGATCCTGAATAATCTATCAAGTTGCAATTGCCTACCCTTGTTTTATTCGCATGTGTTATTTCAAGGAATGATAAAAGTCAGTCAGTACAGCCTATTGGTTACTATTGAGAGCCTAAATTTATGTATCTTAGACTAAAATTTCTTTATAGTCGTGATGGGGTACATGTTTTATTGATTAAGAGAAGATTTCATGATTGTTGTGTATACTTCCTTTTACTGTTTAGTTGTGATATGATATGATGAAAAGATCAAATAAATAGTTATATAATTAGATTACAATATTTGTTATTAATTTTTGAACTTCACCAAATAATTTTAGTAATAACTAGGAAATTATATTAATATTAATTAAAATACATATATTCAATTATGCATTCTGATAAAGCTATGTGTATGAACAATTAACATCAAGCACATATTTGGGTAAGCATGAATAGAGCTACATATTCCAGTTTGGCTCAAACTCCATAAAGAAATAAATAAATTTGAATAAAATAATACTAAGTCAACCCAATAAGGAATACCCCAAGCAAGAGCTAAGCAGTGGGGACAAGGGGTTGGGGAGTTGTTGAGAAGTAACGCGCCTCTTTGTTTGTAAATGGAGCTTAAGAAATTGCCCATTTGCCAAATCTTTTGTTCACATTGTTCAGATTGATTGAAGTTCTTTCACTTCTTATCATAAGCTTGATCATAAACTATGATCGCTTTTCTTCATCATGCATGCAGGTGATTTGAAATGAATCTTTTGCAATCAAGATGAAATTTTTTGTATGCCCAACTATGTAATTCAGGGTAACAATGAAGAGATTAGGCGAATTCGCAGGAACAAGTGGTGAGAGACTCTTAATGCCACTCGCTCAAGCTCAAGAGTTGCTGGCTCAATTCAGAAGACATAAGTTTGGAAGCTTAGATAACACTCACTAAGAACAAAGAGCTCAAGTTTAGAAGAATACTTTCCGAATTTGAAGGATCCAAGCTCAGATCCCAAGCTCATTTGCCCAAGGACTTAAGAGAACATGTTTATTTAAGAGTGATGATTTCATCAACCAATAAAATCTTCAAAAGAATCGACTGAGGCAACAATCCTTATGTATCACGATCATTATGTTCACATGCCTATAACAAATATATCATATATTTATTTGTCAGCTTCAAGCACAACCACATTTTTGGCTGTCTAAAAATCCTATAAATATGACATCAAAGGGTCACATTAGGGGACGGGAAATAAATATTGACTGGATGAAGTTATCAAATCCTTTCAAAGACTTTATCATTGGGGTTCTCTTTTTCTTACTCATGTTTTATTTTTATATTATCATCATTCTCCTTGCTCAAAACTCTTTACAAACCTGATGGATTCACATCCCATATCTTGTTTTTAGCTAAGTTTTGAAGTTTAGTTTATCTTACATCATATAGAAACATATATTTCATTTTAATATAGAAAGAATATCTAATATTAGTATTTTGATCTTCTATTTTAAAAGGTCAAATTGTTTTTAAATTAATGAAACTTGACATAATAATTATATTAGGGGTGTCAAAATTGAGCGGACACACCAACAAGACTAAAAAAATCTAGGTTAGGGTTGACCCGAATATTTTTCGAATCGAGTTCAAGTTAGAGAATTCGACCCGTTTATTATTCGGGTTGGGTTTGGATTGACCACAAAAACTCAAACATAACCTGAATATGCATGAAAATTTGGCTCGGGTTCGGTTTAGCGGGTCAAGCTTAGGTTAAGGTCAGGTTCGATTCTTAGTTTCAACCCGTTTATTATTTGGGTCTGGTTCGGACTGACCTTATTTGTGTCAGGTTCAAACTGACCTTATTCGGGTCAGGTCATTTTTGGGTCGGATTCAAACCCGACCCGCTCACTCAAATTGACACCCATAAAATATATAAATATATGATTTTATCACCATTAAATTTGTCTGATCGAGTACAGGTCTCAGCATAATTAATGTAATTCAAAACATTTAAATTTTAAAATAAAAATCTTTTAGAATTGACAATATCATCGTATACAACAACAAGCCTTTATCCCATTAAGTGGGGTCCGCTACATGAATTTTTTTTTTCTCCATTGTGTCCTATTGAGTGTATTTTTATTTAATTTTAATAGATTAAGATCATTTTTTACACAATATGCTGAAGTTTTTTTAGGTCTACCTCTTCCTTTTTTTAACATGAGTCGAATCTAAAACATCTACTCTCCCAAGTGGATCATCAAATGATTGACGTCTAATGTGACCAAACCATTTAAAAGAACTATCTCTAATCTTGTCTGACAATATCATCATAAGAAATCTAAAAATTTCAGCAATTTTTTTAGAATTGAAACAGGGTCTCAATGAAATAATACAATGATTACAAAATCTCTTAATTTTGAGATCATTAAGACATTATAATATTTGAAAATCAACATGAATTAAAAAAAAGAAGAGGATGCTATATTCAATTATATGATAGAATGTCTATATAATTAAAAAAAAAAAGAGGATGCCCTATTAAAAATTCCTTTAAATATGACTTCAAAATATTAAAAAATATTCAAGATGAGAGAATTGTGAGACTAAAAAATTTCTATAGCTTTGCTTATCAACACCCAATATCCATCATCAAACACCACTGATACTCATCGTCAACCACTCAAAGTTAGTTGTTGTCAATGCTCACCATTTATGATTACTGACACCCTCAATGCCCAATTAATGTAGACATGTATCATTTGTCATTGTCGAATGTTTGTCCAGAGTTAACATTGTCATTTGTCGCCAGCAACCATCATCTTGCCTTCTTTGGTGATATAATATTATAGATTATTGCAACTTTTAATCTAAATAATAGAATAATATAATATTTAATTTATTGTATAGTACATTATCATGATTTTCAAAATAGAGTAATGTTACACTATCATATTTGTGATCATTAAAATTCAATCTAGCCTTAGAAATCATCTCCATCATATACTTGAATAAAAATGCTTCAAAATAATCAATTCAATGATGTTTCAACTATAGTAAGGCTCTCAAAAAATACGACTCTCAAGAAATCTCCCAAGAAACATTTCATTCCTCTCAAAAGAAAGACAATGCTTAATCAATGATTCACCATTATAATTCTTCTCCAAAGCATTAACTTCAATGGTATGCAAGGCACAAATATGTGGCAAATATACTTAAAAAAAGTTTCTACACTCCAACAAATGAAGCAGGTATATGTTATCATTGTTATATTCATTATCCCTAAAATTAACTCCTATGTTGGATAAATGGCTAACTATGTTGTCATTTAGGTTCTATCAATTTTAGTATTATGTATATATCTAAAATGTAAACATTCATATTTATATGCATATCCCTCAAACTCAAATCTTTAATATCACGTCAAATATACCATCATCGTTTTCCTTTTAGAAGTGAAATACACCTTTTCATGCATAGGTTTATGACACAAAGGCGTTATAATTGTAAATATCAAACTTTTGAGAGTTAGATACCTAAATATGTAATATATCTATATATGTACATATGCACATCAATATTTGAACATATGTACATCTATATATGTATAGGTGCACACCCTCCATGACTTTTCTTTTTTTCATAGAAAGATGAGGAGTTACGGAGCATAATTCGTTCATTTCGTGAAAAAAGTAGTACAAAAGTATGAACAAAATTAGAAGCAAAAATAAAGCCAAAGAGCCAACAGAGCTGAAGTAAACAAAAATGCAACCATGAAACAAATCATGAGCAAATATAGGCATGAAATAAACCGTAGTTAAGAGTTTAATCTAGCTTGTACAAATAGAAATATGCATTCATTATAATTTTATCGGTGAACTAAACAACCAAGATGTTATAAAGTTTATACCATTTTCTTCTCACATAATTTCCAAATCAAACACAAAAAAATTGGCTATGTAAAAATAAAAAAAGAAATAAAGATTTAAATCTAATGAGCATAAAAATCAATAAGATGTGCCAACTATTTTCTTTTAACATAACAACTCCAAAGTAAAAATAGTTTTTCAATGATGTGCGTGAGAACACTTTGATCTAGAAGAGTATGATATCTATAATTACCTCTCATCCCAGCTAGAACTGTCTGCACTGAACCGGCTGGAATCTCACATACCATGAGGCATGGGGAAAATGCCAAATCCACTAAGGCTTCTTTTGGGGCAACATTAGCTTTAAAAAGCCAATTTCCCAACCATAAATTCAACTATGCTTTCTCAAAAATAGTTTGTTAAAGATAATTTCAGAGAAAAAATGTGAGAAAACTGAAACGTTAAGCTATCCCAAACAAAACTGAAGCTTTCAAGAAGGCCTCTTATTGCCTTGTCGTTGAATATCTATCATCAGATTATAACAGCATGCCTTCAAATTGCATGTCAGGAAGGCCAGATTATCATCCTCGTCCTCATCATTAATCTTTTCCCAACTATGAGGAATAGATTTCATGAAATCTAGCACTCCATAATTCAATGCTGAGCGAGCAGATGGCCAATATGTCAGCATAAATATGTTAAAAATATCCTTCTGTATTCTCAAGCTCCATAGTAATCCATTAGAACCAGTAACTTGGACTAGTGCATAATTCATGAGCAAGCACCTTGATAAATTCATAACACATTTTCATTTCAGCTCAATTCGGGAGAGCTATGTTAATTTGAAATCAAATTTCAAATTATAAATTCAGCCTGCATTCACTTCTCTCAATCTCCTGTACACATGTTTACTACTATCATAAATTCTACTCCACATTGGGATGGAAGGTTCAAATGGCATCCTCTGGATTAATTCGTGGAGCTCAACCATGGATCCATGCTTGCCCAAAAGCTCGATCATGCACTCATAATGTTCAATCCGGGGTAAAACGCCATATTCTTCACTCATCATGTAAAAATACTTGAAGCCTAAGTTCACAGATCCTTCACCAATGCAAGCAAGCAACAACCCGATAAAAGTGATATTATCTGGTTTGATTCCGTCTCTCTTCATGGCCTCAAACAGTTCAAAACTATAATCTCCTCTCCCATTATAAGCAAGTCCCAAAATTACGGAATTCCACAAAACAACATCCCTCAATCTTTCCTCTTTAAACACTCTGATTGCGTAGTTTATGAGCCTGCATTTACAGTACATGTCAACTAGCGCTCCTCTAAGTATTACATCCATATTGAACTCATTTCTGATCATGAAAGCATGCATTTGTTTCCCATTTTCCAGCATGAATATGTTAGCAGAAGCAGCCAGCATCAAACTAAAGGTGAACTCATTGGGTGTTGTCTCCTTCAACATTTCGTTGAAAATATCGAAGGCCTCTTCACTTCGTCCGTGATGAGCATAACCTGCAAGGAGAGAATTCCAGGAGACTTTGTCCCTTCTGGAACACATTTGGAGGAACCAATGATTAGCACTCTTAAGATTCCCACACTTTGTATACAAATCAAGGAGGGCATTACTGAAGAAGATATCTGAGTACAAAAGATGTCTATAAGCAAATCCATGAATCTGTTTTCCCTTTTCAGAGTCTAAGAGCCCGGCACAAGAGTTTAGCATCAGTCCAAGGGTGACAAAGTCGATCTCCTTAGTTTCGCTTCGCATCTCCTGGAAGAAATCAAAGGCCTTTTCCCAGTTAAAAGACTGCACATATCCAGCCAGCAATGCATTCCAAGAGACTACATTCCTCTCAGGCATCTCATAGAAGAGCTTCTCAGCTTCATTTAATTGTCCACAGCTCGCATATCCTGATACCATTGAGGTCCAGGAAACAACATCTCTTGAAACAGAGCAATTGAAGATCCACCGAGCATCCTCAATACAACCACACTTGGAATACATTTCCAGGACAGAATTCTCAACGATCAAATCTGTTAAAAAACCATTCTTCACAACAATTCCATGAATTTGGCACCCTACACAAAGCCAAGAGGAATCTGAACAAGCCACAAGTGCACTTGAAATAGTAAAATTCAAAGGAATAACTCCCATGTGGATCATCTTCAAGAACATATCCACGGCTTTCTCCCCTTGGCCAAAATCAAGATATCTCCTAACAATTACATTCCATGAAACCGGGTTTGGGTCAGGAATCTCATCAAACTTCTTCTGTGCTTCATCCATGATCCGACATTTCCCATAAACATCAACAAGCGAAGTCCCCAGAATCACATTGACGCAGAACCCAAATTTCAAAATGAGCCCATGAAGCTGCTTAGCAAGAGTTAAGGCAAGAAGGCAGGAGCACGACCCTAGCACTGACGCAAAGGTGACATCTTTGGGACGGATACCAGTCCCATTCATCCGGACAAAGAGCGCGATGGCGTCAGATGGACAGCCAGCGCAAGCGTAAGCAGAGATCATGGCGTTCCAGGTGCCGCCAGACCGGTGGGGCATTTCGTCGAATAGCTCGCGAGCATCGGCGATGGAACCGCACAAAGCATAAGTCTCTATAGAGCGGTTGAGAAGGAAGGTGGAAGGTGGGGAGGGATAGGAGGAGGAGATGATGTGGGATTCAACGCAGCGAGCGGCGACGAGGGCTTGGCGTGAAGCGCAGAGATGGAGGAGCCGAGAGTAGACGGAAGCTGGGAAGGGAGATGGAGTGGCGCGGAGGATGGTGATGGAGGTGCGAAGGTCGCCGGCGACTATGTGGTGGAGGATAGAGGAGGAGGGAGGTGGATTCTTGGGGCGGCGGGGTGCGGTTTTGCTCGGGTTTCTGGGGCGCGCGGCATGTCGGATTAAACGTTCGCGGACAGAAGAGGCGGTAACCACCATGAGAAAAAGTTCGGATTTTGCAAGTGCGGCGTTCGCCTATTCGAACTGTCGCCGGCATGGGTGCCTCCCTCCCCTAGAGCAGTAGAGCTACACATTTTCAACCTTTGTAATAGTCTCTGTTTAAAATGCAAGTCACTTGTGATTGCAGAGCTCTAGTTTTCAATAAGAGATTCTTAGTTTTAAATTTTTGTATATATATGATACAGGTACAAATTATTGTATTAGGAGTCCTAATATAATTTTACTTCAGGATTTTAATATGGGAGCAGACTCATCCATATATTAAATTGAACCATATTTATACACGTGGCAGACCCTGATTATAATTTTGATGCAAAATTATATCAGAACTCTTGATGCAATAATTTCTCGTATTTAATGATTAATTTTTCTTAAATTTCTCATCAAAAAATGTATTTGCCAGTGATCATACAAAAATAATATTATGTAACTGTTCTATTTGAACTAATTTATTTTTAATTTATACACATATATTACTACTAATAAAAATACTGAAAAAAATAAGAGAAAAACAAAAAAAGAATTTATGAAATAATTTAAAAGAGAACCTCTATGAAATTCTTGTTGTTAGAAGGCAGCATACCACACTGTTCTATATATCTCATGTTAATGTTTATTTTGCAACCTCTATTAATAAATTTTTTTATGCATGTAATCCTCTTTTTTCTATTTATTTATTTATTTATTTTTGCACGATGGGTTTTTGAGGCTGCTTGCATTTCTTAACGTTTTGTAGAGACTTATACTCCTCATACATGCCCTACATACATAAAAGGATGATAGGAGGATACCAAAATATGGATTGAATAGACCAAAACAATGAAAATACTCAAACTTACAATCATATAATGTCATGCAAACTAAGAAAATAATAAGATAAGCTTAAATTTATTCAACCTTAAGAAGCATGAATGTATATGAGAAATTTGTATGCACGAATACAAAGATAATTGAACGGCTCATAAATAAGATATGATCGATCGTACATGACTTGTAGACGACCTTCTGAGTTGGACGTTGATGAATGAAGTGTCGTGTTCAAGCGATCAGTAGAATGTGTCAAGGGATCTCTCATAAGGCGGTGATTGACCCTCAAGCGATCGACAAGAAGTATCCTTTCAGATCGACAAAAGGTACTCTATTGAGCAAATCATCTTCTTTCTAAAGTAGACTCATAACTCTTTCTTTGTAAATTTAAAACTTTAGATCATAAATATCAGGGTGGATAAAACTTATATTAAATAAGAATTTCAAATTTGGGCTTGGAAACCTTAGGGGCTGCTGCTGACCACCTAAATGTTGGGAAAATATTGCATCTGGACTTCGGACGTCAATGAAATCCCACCACATGTAAATTATGGTCCCACCACTTAAAAAATGAAAAAAATAACATGTAACGCCTCAAAATTTGTCAAACCCGCCTCGAACCTGTCTGTTTAGGGAGAAAAGAAAACCACCCGAGTGATACAACGACAATAATACCACAATACAATGACAATAACACCGGTTAATACAATGGCAATACAACAATTAAAATTATAATATTTTTCATGTATAGTAAATAATTTTGTATGGTAAAAATATAAAAAACAACGGCTATGTCTTATATAATTAAATGAATTAAATGAATATATATTTTCACCGTGAAGCAATATTATTGGCGTAATTAAGAATTTGGTGTTATGTAAGTAAATGCCCCCGTTCTTTTTTATAAATTCCAAATATTAATTTGAAAATGACATATAATACCGTAAAAAGAGAATGTTTCAAAATTAAAATAAATGTCAATGACAGGTTAATAACACCTTAATAACACCTGAATAATAACGTAATAACACTGCAGAAACAATGCAAAATCGAGATGCTATTGACGCGTTTTCTATGAGTCATCGTCATTGGCGTGTTTTTGCAAAATAGCACCGTAAAACTATGCTGTAATATCATTTTTTTTTTATTCAGAAATGTTATTGTGGTATTACTTAACTTTGTTTTTGCAATGTTATTGGAATGAAACCACAGTATTATCAACGTGGAATTTATGCGACGTGTTATTAGCTTGTTTTTTTATTATTATTATGTTGTTATTCAAGTATTATTCCAGAGTTTCTGTAGTGTTGTTGAGTTGTTATTAATGTGTTATTCCGGTATTATTGTAGGGGAACAATGTTATTGGGGACTTTTTTTCTTCTACGGTGTTATTGCGATGGTTTTGACATTAATTCTATTTTATTGGCGTTGTGAAGCTGTGTTATTCGACAGTTATAGAGGTGTTATTGACGAGAAAGTCGATGTGTCATTAGAGTGACATTTTTTTAATGTGGTGGTGTTATTTAAAGAAAAAAAGATGCATAATTGAGGTGTTATTGATTAAAAATTTGAAAAAATAATAATTCATAATTTTAATAATTAATTTATTTTTTTTAATAATTGCATGTATTATTTTCATTTTATTAATAGTTTCATCTAAAATTAAGAGTCAATATGTTTTATTAATAAATCTATCAAATCAAATAAACAGATAAATGTAAGAAAATATTTTAATAGGTTATAAATACAAAGAAATATTTTATTATATTCATTTAATTTAAATATAAGGAAATATATAAGAAAATAAATATTTTAAAAATATTAATATATTCATTTTAATATTCAAAATTTAAAGAAATATTTTAAAATATTCATTCAAGAAAATAAATATTCATTTCCTTATAAGGAAAAAAATAAAAGAAAATATTCTAATATATATATACATACATATTTTAAATATAAGAAAATAAATAATAAAATAAAAATAAGGAAATATATAAGAAAATAAATATAAGGAAATTTTCAATATATTCATTTTAATATTCAAAATTTAAGAATATATTTTAAAATATTCATTTCTTTATAAAATATTTATTTCCTTATAAGGAAATAAATATAAAAAAATGTTTTAATAGGTTACAAATAAATATTTTTTTATATTTATAATCTATTAAAATATTTTCTTATATTTATGTGTTTATTTAATTTGATAATTTATTAATAAAATAAACTAACCGGTCGATAGTGTTATTGGAGTGTGGCTGCCCAGCCGCCGGCTCCCGGATGGCTTCACGAATTTGATGCTAAAGCCGAGCCGTAAGGAGCGAAACTTTCCGGCCATTGAAGCGAGATAGAAAGCAGATGCTCCACCAATGGAGCTCCGGTCGTTTCCTTCTCCAACACTCTCAGGTAAGAACAGCCATCAATTCATAGAAATTATGTCAAAAAAAGTTAATTAAGACGGAATTAAGAATTCGGTGGAACTAATATAGCCCTCATCGTCCCAGCTATCTTATCGGGCATGCATGTCCTCCTTTGTTTGTTAAGATGCCAATTTGGGTTCTACTTTGTTCTTTATTGGCCGGATCTTGATTTTGAATTGTAGCCGCTATCTAAGATGACTTTTTCTTGACCTACTACTAGGTCATATTCCCGAACGTAATTTTTACACTTGCAAAAAGGTTTTCTTGATGACGTAATTTAGTGAACTGTTAACCAGATACTTCTTGACTGCAGATGCTATAAGCAATCTTCAATGCCGGTAGAGTTTTGGGCAGACGGATGAAATAAAAAGATTAGCCGGTATATTCAAAGTTTTTTTTTTAGTTTTCCGGAGAAAATGCTCTAATGCATAAGTTAGCGTCTGATCTTGAAAGTTAGAAAAGATTTATTAGAGTTTTCCCCCTGGGATGAAGGAATTAGAGCTCTGAAGAGTCCTTTACCTTGCCTGTTTGTGGATATACATAGCCATTTGAATGAAGGGAGTTCTGGTATTGTGGCAAGGCATGCAGTGGAGAGACAAACCACATGGCCAAGCTTTGTTTTATTTGAGATTAGTGTTGGACTATCATGATTTTAATATTGATAGATAGATCAATGGAGGATGAAGATATCAAGATTTGTATTATTGGAGATTTGAGTTAGGCGTCTTCAGTTAAATTGGTGGCTCTGAGATTTATGCCGATATTAATTTGAATTAGATGACAAAATTTGAGATTGTTGACAATGGACATGTACTTCAGGGTATTTGACTAGGTTGACATTATTTTTGATATGAATGAGTGGTACAGAAAGCAGAGAACACATCATCTTGTTTTGCTCATTGCACATGAATCATTGAAGCACAAACCTCGATTCCTTTGACCATGCAGTTGGAATTATTCAAGTGGTATTTTTGCAGTCCATATCTATTGCATTTAGGCTCGATAAATGGGTGAGTGGTTTGATGAGCTAGCCAATCCTTTCCTTTATTGGGACATATTTGACTTTTTTGTTATGTTTTCATTTATGTCATGCCCAAATCATGTAATCATTTCATTTTGAGCTCTGTTTGGCACTAACCCGACACTTAAATATTTATTGGGGTCGTATTCGGTCAGGATTGAGTTTGTCGAGTTGAAATAAATCAAGATTTTTGACTTGTTTAATAAACTGATAGGGTTCAAGTTTAGAGGCGGATCTCTCAACTTGAGGAGATAGCTTGAACTGGCACCCTATAAATAGGTAATGCATTGATGTATTCATGATTTTAATAGCATATTTACTATTTTGAATTTAAAGACTCTTTCTTTCTTTCTTATTTTTTGGATTTTTCTCAATCCTCATTCTTCGCCATTTTTCATAGATTGCCGAGTCATAGTGTATATTATTCACATTGTAGCCTAGTTGCTCACTTGTTTTTGGATTCTCTTAATTAAAAAAAAAAACTTTTTTTAACTGCAAATACACCATCAAACAAGTGATCACTTATTTCTCATAAGATTGAAAGAGGTTTTTTCATGATTTGTCATAAAGTATTGTTTGAATTCAATTCTCCTCAATCATATATTCACAATCTATCTACATGACCATCCTCTAGAGATTGTAGTGCAGGCAAATGTGTGTTGATCTAATTGCTTTTATTCTTTGTTTGGCCAAATTTGAGCTAATTGCATAAAATCTTTAGTAAAACTTCACGATTTAAAGCCCTAAATTTAGCCATTTATGATGTCAATCTTTTACTTTCTTTTATCAATCTTAGTTGTGTAAGATTTACTACTTCCTTGAAATCTTGAGATCATTTTAAAAGCTTCCTAATTTTATTTGATATTTAAAAGAGCTCAATTTTGAACTTATTTTAGCACAAACAATTAGTCTGAGTCATCAAGAAAGGCCTAGGCATAGCTTTGGCCAATATGTAACATATACATGTTGCTTGAGAGAATAAAGCACAAGTTGCTTATGCTAGCAAGGGCCTTTTAGACTACCTTTGGTGGCCCATAATTGTCGAATATCCGCATCTTAGAGTCAATTATCACTGATAAACACCTTCAATAGATAGGTATCAACCAAAACATCCCCAAGTGGTGGTTAAATAATATTAATATTGAAATTCAGAATAATGCATAATAAAACAAAATTATTTTATTGATATGAAAGATGATATAAATAACCCGTACATGATTTATAGAATAGGAAAGACAATAAAAAAGAAATAATATGAAAGAAAATATAATATACCTAATTACTCCAATAATCAATTCATATTAATTATTTGATGTTAAAAGAAATAAAATAAATTAGGAAAACCAAAAATAGGAAAGAAAATAACTCCTAATTCAAGGAAATAAATGTAAAATAGGAAATGAAATAACTCCTAAACTAAGAAAATAATTGATTCCTTATGAGTAATCATAGGAATAAATTATTTCATAATATAACTTCTAACACTCCCCCTCAAGTTGAAACATATTTGAAAATCATGTTCAACTTGGATTTGAAAACATAAATGAGCTATTAGAACTTGAGAAATAGAACTTGAAGTCTTCATCCCATGTTCGGTTGTCTTTGACTGCAGTTCCTACAGTGTCTGTAGGTAGGCGAAAAACCCCTACAAGTAATGCTACAGGGGAGTTTGCAGGGAAGTAGAAAACTACGATTTTCCTTGACTATAACTCCTGCAGTGTCAGTAGGTTGATAGATGACTCCTATAGATAATGTTGCAGGGGAGTTTGTAGGGAATGAATAACTGTGGCTATCTTTGATTGCAGTTTCTGCAGTGTCTATAGGTAGGCGAAAAACTTCTACAGTTAATGCTGCAGGGAAATTTGCAGGAAAGTAGACAACCTGCAAAAAAAACTGACTTCTAGTTGATTGCGGTTGTCATTGGTTGCAGTTCTTGCAGTGCATTTAAGTAGATGAAAAACTTCTTCAGCTAATGATGCAAGGGAGTTTGCATAGAAGTAGGCAGCCTTCAGATAAAGGCTGCAGGGTATGGCTTGCAGAAGAAATGAAAAGCTCCAGAGGGTTAGATGCATGAAAAGCTTCAAAGGAGGGTTTGCTACAGAAAAGATTCCGGAGGAGGGCTTGATACAGGAAAAAAACTCCAGATGAGGGTCTGCTGCATGAAAAAAATTCCGGAGGAAGCCCCGTTCCCAAAAAAGCTTTTGAGGAGCGCCTGATATTGGATACGACCAACCAACTGTAGTTTTTGCTTAGATGACATGATATAGAACTCCCTCTAGAGTCCAAGAAAACTTTACAGTAAATGTACTTTGTCTGGGACATTCAAGCTTCAACAAATCCAAGCTCCGAAAGCTTTAGGAGGGCCTTAACATAATCGACAAAAAAGGGCATCCTAATATGCAACATATTTATCCACAAAAGGGCGAAAAATTGGGTCGCTCAGAAGGGCCATGTCGGATGTATCCAATAAATATTCTAATATCTAAGTCATCATCATGCAAAAATCAATAAACTAATTCATCCTCCTCCTTTGCAAGGAAGCACCCTATAATAAGAAGCAGCCGAGTCGCATAATTCAACTTCAACTTCCTTGTATGCTTCTTTAGAATATCATTTGCTGCAACCACAAAAGCATAAACCACATAAATAAAAACAAAGAAGATTTATCCCCAAAAACTTATCTTCCCAACAATTAAGGTGACTGACAAGGCTGACAAAGACTGATAAGAAGAATCCAATATCTCTTATGAAACATTTACGATCAATGTGGACATTCTTTCCAATAATAATTAAAGAAACATTCCCAACAACCATGTAAGCAACAAAGACTACACCACCAAGAATGCTGTTAAGACCAACCTCCCCAACTCTAGTTCTCGCAAAGGTCGCAATGCTGGTAAAAATGCCAGGTGCCCCATTTCCAAGCGGAACTATGGTCACACCAGCACCAGTAGGTAGAGAGTTTGGCAAGGTGACAATAGAAGTAGTCTGCAGCTTTGCCCAATTGATAAAACAGAGCGAGAAGCCATATGACAAGAAAAACATGCTCCGAGATTTGAACTTCCTCACAATCACAGTAAACGAAGGTGATGCAATTGATGAACCCATCAAAATCACCATAGGGCTCAGCTTTAGAAAATTACACTGAGCGCCCTCGTGTTAGGCTATCCAGAAGCAAGCGTCCATTGGATTCTCCAGATAGTTCGGTATGATTTCCCGAGATGAAGAATTCAACAAAAGCTCGTAGAGATGGCGGTGGAAAATAAGTGAGTGTTTCGAAAGCAGCCTAGGCGAGATAAAACTAGTGCTTTTATGGAAGAGATGGTTTCAGATAACGTCTGCTTCAATTTCTCTATTCAATTAACAAAGAGAGTTTTTGGGGTTTCAGAAGCCGATCATCAGGATACAATTGAGGCTGGAAAACTGATCAATGGCGACATGTGCAGATGATAAACCTGTGAGTGTCGAGAAGGATGAAGAGGGAGGTTGGCAAACTCCCAGCTTGAGAAGGGTTGGCCGACGGGCCAAGCTTTCAGGGAGAGAAAAAGTCGTAGTTTCAAATATCAAAATGAGTGCTCTCCCTTCCCGCACGGATGATGAGAGGAAGTGAGTTCGACGGTTTTGAAAGGATGACCGGTGGCTAAGATATGAAATAAGCTCTGATACTATGTTGAAATTTAGAATAATACAAAATTATTTTATTGATATGAAAGGGTGTATAAATAACCCTTACATGATTCCTAGAATATGAAATGCAATAAAAAAGAAATAATATGAAATGAAAGATATAACACCTAATATCTTCAATAATCAATTTATATTAATTTTATTTATAGATAAAAAAAAACATAAAATAGAAGAGTCTTAAATTGAAAAGGAAATAACTCATAATCCAAGGAAATAAATATAAAAAAGGAAAGGAAATAACTCATAACATAAGGAAATAATTTATTTCTCACAACTTC